CTATGGTGTTTTATTAGCCAGTGACGTAGCTATGGGGAGGCTAAAGGTTTCGTATAACCTTTCTTCATTTGCCAATTATAATTAGCAAAGTTACAGTAATAATTACAACTCTAACTGGAATATGACTCAGGTGATAGTATGACAATATGATAAGCATAAATAATAAAATCATTAGTACCGCCAAGTATTTGTCCAAGCTACATCATTGTCATAAGCTTTCGAATTATGGCGATGTATACAAAATATATATCACATTTCATTGCATTTATAAAAATATTTTTAATGTAATAGTTATTTTTTACTTGTAACTTAAGTCAGTTTCAATTTAGTTATCTTTCCAAATCGTAAAAATAATATTCCTAGTTAAATAAAATAAATGATAGATTTACAATGTTTCATATTGATTATTGTTACATTTAATATATTTTCTTTACAAAAACTCATATTAATATAAAAAAATATTTGATTATTCTGATTTCAATTTTTAATTATCTACATGAAATTTTATTATTTATTTAGTCTTAAATTTTGTATTCTAAATTTTATACGGATTCATTTTTTAATTTATAAATAAACTTACAGTACAAAGTTAGTTTACAGTACATGACGAAAATATACTAATTCATAATATTTCTATAATATAAATGTTCAAGGAATAGTAACTACTATAAGCTAAGGTTATTGAACTTGAATTTTTTAGAAGTATAGATAGAAATGATAATGAGTTGTGACACTAATGTAGCTTTTGAAATTTTTATCAGAAAAAAACATTTACTAGTATAAAGAATTGTTAACAATTATGGAATATTAGGTAGTGGTATATTTCCTTGATCGTTTTGCTTAAGTAAACACATGTTTAAAGAGATCACCTGTCCTCATTTTATATTATACTTTTAACTACGATTGTATGAATTTCAACTTTAATTAAAAATTATAGTTTATTTATCCAGATAAAAAACAGTAATTCGTCAATTTTTACTAAATTTAAATAAAATTATTTTTGATAATTTAAATTTTCTATGAATTTATTTTAAAATTACTTTAGCAAGTATAATTATACTTTAATTATAATTAATCAATATTATTAAATTAATTATTCAACAAAAGAGTCACAAATTTTGTTCTTATAGTTTTCATTTGTTTTCAGCAAGGACAGTCTAACGCAAAAAGAAATTTATCCTTTAGAGTCATAAATTCAGAATCGGTTTGATAGGAAGCTAACGCTCCGGAGCCTATAAGCTTAAAAGGCTCATCACAAATATTACTTAGCTGTTTTTTTTTTTTTTGCTCATCACTTCATCCGGTACCTATATAGGTCTTATTCAGGTCCTGCATAAAATTTTTGTTTAATAAAACAATAATATAAAATTTGCTAACTTATAATTACAATGTTCGAAGATTTTTTTTTACGCTTTTAACTTCAATCAGATATTAATTTTAAGCTATTGTATATTATTAGTCTAGTAGGGATAAAACTTTTGATATAACATAATTTATGAAGATATATTTAAAAAAAAAACGCCATTTAATTTTTATCAAAAAATATAATTTATTTTAGATCTTATTAGAAATTTAACTATTACTCTTATATATAGTTACTTACTATTTTAGCTAAAAAGAACCATATTCTATACAAATTAAGAGAAAAGATTATAGGGTAACATAATCAATAAATATTTTAAAAACAGTTAAGAATTTTTCATCTTTTAAAGTTCTTTACTAAGTTATATTTTGATAACAATCTCATCAAGTTAATAAAGATTTATTCTCTGAAAAGTTCTTTGTATTATTATGTAAACATATTTTTAATTAACTGACATAAATGTTTAAATTTATTATTAAATGTTGAATATTTTAATTTCCCAATTAATGATATTGTATCAAAAATTGTGATGTTGTAGATAGACATTAATATAGATATTTTCTTTGTTAAAATACCCAACCAAACTACTATTAACAATTTGATACAATCAAATAGACAATTTTTTACTTAAAACGTCAGTAAAGTTCATTCACTGGTAGTGACTCATTAAAAATTAGATCAAATGTATTTATGTATACACTGTTTCTGGTTGGTTTCAAAATATATATAATGAAGAGATAAATATTTATAGAAAATTCTCTAAAATATGTTATTTTAAAATCAGAAGATTTATTTTAAATCTATTAAATTAACTTTTTTAATTTGACAAAAATATACAAAAACACTAATTGTTTCTCTACTGCAATTTTAATCTAATAAAAATTGGTCGATCTTAATTTTTTAGTAGGTATATTAAACTTATTGTTGATTGTACACTAAAGTTTTCAAACAACAAGAAATCTTATTTTTAAGTATTAGCTACCAAGAATTAAATTATTCAAAATTACTAGATTTAAATTATTTCTTTAATTCAATTGAAGCATTAAAAAAAAAAAAAGACTTGAATACACTACTATTAAATTATATTTATATTAGAGCTAATAAGTAATATATAATAAAATATATAACTCTTGTAATTCATAAATGACCTAACAGAACTTTGTGATACCGTAACCATGATAGATATATTCATCATATTTTAATAAGTTTTTTCTGATAAAAGTTATAATAAAATCAATTTTCCAAGTTATAAATATAAAAAAATTATAGCAATACATATAAATATACATTTTGAGTTATAAATATCAATTATTTATTTAATATTGAAGTATGAAATAATTCTTGAACAATAATTGAATTGTAACACTATTAATTAGTTCATTGATTAATTTTGTTCGCTCTTTTTAATCTGTATTTGACAAGGTTAGGTATTTTTTGTTAAACATTTAATTAAACAATAATTTATAACCTCAGTTAAAGAAATTTTACTTTTCTATATAATAGAAGACGATTGATAATAGATTACAGTTCTAGAATTTTATATCTACAATTATTAATTAATAACAATTAAATTAAATAAAGACTACATGTATAATTAACTATTTTTGGGAAACTTATACTCATGATAACGTTGGGATTTAAATTTGAAGTTTAAATATGAATCCTGTACAATAAACATATGGATCAAGAAATACACTATATAGGAAATTATAAAATGTATTAATATCAGAGATGTATTTTAACTTGAAAAACTATCAAATTAAAACCCTTTAAAATTTGCATGAAATCATTGCAAAAATATTTTTCTTTTAATATTCTTTGTTAGTTTTTACATATATTAGTATATTTTAACACATTAATTGAACAGTATGAAATTGAATAAATTATTCTAAATTATGAATTTGGAACGTATAGATTTCAAATATTCAATTCGTTTAAAATATTGCTAATCAATAAGTAATATTTGTACAACTATGTTTGAAGTACCTATTCAGTATTTCAACTAATGAAGTTGATTATTATCGTAAATAATACATTAAAATAATTTAAATAGTAAACGAGGTAATTATTTGTAAATATTATGAACAATTAATTTTATTTGCATCGTATTAGTACAAAAACAATTATGTAAAGAGTTCGTAATAGAGGCCCCAAATTGAATAAATGTGAATTTTAAACAATTCTAAGAAGTATATTTTTATATTTTAGGATTATTTATTCTGTTAAAGTTTCAAAAATGTGTGTATATAAAAAATTCTATTAAAATATTAATGCAAATTTTACTCGAAAAAACTGAAACGTCAATGAGTATAGGTATTTTACCATACAAGAATTCAAAATATCTTATATATGTTTAATTTTTAAGTTTCATTGTTAGATATTTAATTTCGATTCATAAAATTTTATTGATTTTATTAACTATTCAACTTACATCATATCATACATGTATAATTGACTGTTCTATTGAACATTTCTAATAATGAGTACACAAAACTACAATTATAGCTATGGGGGTATTTTGTTTGTAATTTTTTTTTATAAAGATAAATTAATATACAATAAGATTAAATTGTACATAATTTGCTGTGTATACATTGACTCATTGACCTAATTATTGCGAAATTCGTCACAGCAACTTAATGTTAATCAAAATATTAAAAATCATTTTATTGCTTGGTTTTTCATTCCTTAAAATAAAAAAAAATGTTTTTTTATTTTCTTAGACATAATGAGCGATTTTATGCCACATTGGCAAGTGGTACAAAAAAGAGTAATTATTTTTGTATAATTTAATCAAATAAAACATATATGAATACAATATTTAGTACAAATTCTACTTATGATAGACTCTTGAAATTTTAAGTATAGATTAAGCTCTAGTAGCTTTGAACACTGTAATAAAATGAGCCCTTAATGTTAAATTTGTGGCCTAATACTGACTCAATACTCACTTATGTTTTACTCGGGTGACAAAAAAGATAAAAAACTAAGATGAAAAAAAATTTTTATCCGGGATTCATTAGTCATTATGGCTAAGCCCATTGTACTCAACTGGTCAAAAACCAGTTAAGTGTTGAACAGTACAAATTATTACTACCACTAATTTTAATAGGTATACTTTTTGTTTATTAAAAGGTGTATTCTTTAGAGCTTAATTATTTTCACGGTCATGTTTTTATGGAGATAATAATTAACTACAATTATAATAATTATTATTATCTAGAACAACACAAATAAAAATAAAAAACTACGATCGTCTAACTTTGATATCGTACACACTGTAATTACAATATTATTGTACTCTGTACAATCATTACATCAACATAAATAATAATATCTCACCCCTAAACTAACCATTAAGGTAGAAAAATACTATAATTTATTTTAGAAGCTTTTTGATAGTTAGGAGGTCGTAGGTTAAAACGCTGTATCATATATTATTTCTTAATTAAATTATAACCCATTTCTATACAAATTGTCAATTTGCACGTGCGTATAGGTTTTACCACACAATAATTGGCGATAAGAGACGGCGGTGTAGAACAGTAAAAAAAGAAAGACGCGACGGCTCGCAATTCATTTATTTGATTCTCCCTCCACTGGGACGACTATCCTCCCGCATTTCTGCGACCGGTACTACTAGAGCAGTTAGTTGGCGACCACCGTTGTAGTTGCAACCGTTACCGTCGTGTTGCGCATTACCGTGACACTATCACGTTTAGCGCACCGATACACGTTTATTAAACCGTCGCCGCTGATACGATTCGTTGACTACTGATAACGACACCGTGCTTCCCACATGATGACAAATTAGGAACTTGTCCGATACTCGTTTAAACGGCCTGAAAGTTTTAACTTTTTTTTTAACAATTATTATTTTTTAATTATTTTTTAAGTTTTTTTTACACAGTGTATAATTTTTATTGTAAATACTACCACTTAATCTAACCGTAGTAATTTTATCTATTACATTTATACTATGATTTTATTGGAATAGTAAAATAATTATTTCTACTAGTTTTAAATGATTATTTTGTCAAGTATAACTGTCTAACTTTCACTGCTAATTGAGTATCCAAGAACTAGAAGGAAAAATTATGGTGTTATTTAAAGTTTCGCGTTGTCGTTTTAGTTGATTGAAAATAAACTTACATTATTGACAAATACCTAAAACTACTGTTAAATATACTTGTTTTATTATCAAAAATCAAATATGTCTTCTACATCGCCAGTTAGTACAGATGCTCCTTTTGGAGTGCAAATATTACAGAAATTATCTTCTAAATACCCTTGTATGAATCAAATAACTGACAGAAATAATTTGTAAGTACTATTAAAGTATACATTTTTTATAGTTAATCTAGATCTCATAAATTGTTAAGATTTAATTATATTCTTATATATTACAGTATGAATATAGTTATATTTATTTATTTATGCAATTTATCTCTGTATTTTTTGATTAGGTAATATTTAAAATAATAACAATTTTAAATTTGTTGTATTTCATTAAAAAGTCAATATACCTTTATTTTCAATTGTTTTTTAATGAATTAATAATCATAATATTATTAATTAATAATTTATATTAAAAATTGAAATAGTTAAGTAAAAAAGTTTGATGAACTACAATCTTGAATAAATAATCCAGCTATTTATCTTTAGATAAAAATTTATTAAATCAAACCACTGTTAAAATTTGTATTTTCAATGAAAAGTAGTTTATACAGTTGAGAATATTTGAATCCTTCTTTATTTATAAATAATTTGGCTGTTATGTTATCTAAAATTAACTTAACAATTTTAATTCGAAATTAAATAGTTTATTTAAATATCAAGTTCAACAAATATTCTTATATTATTGCTCATTATATAAAAAAAGTTTTATCTAGTAAAATATTAATGGTTAGATAATACAAGGTTTCTTTATATCACCTAAATTGATATATTTTATTGTATTGGAAAATATTATTTTGGATGACTGAATGAAATTACTCTGTAATTTATTATTTTTTCATACATTAAAGAAAGTGTTGTTAATAATAGTATTTTTAAATAATAATATACTAAAAACAGATACAATTTATTGTATTTGTAATAGTAAATATGGAAAATGTTTAATACTTTCATCATTATTACTATAAATGAAGCTAGTATATGGAAGATCAGTTTAAAAAGTCATATAACTGAAAAATATATGATTTTCAGTATATAATGGCATATGGTAATACATATATTTTCAATATTCTACTAGGTCAGAAGTATTTATCTATTTTTGATTGATGTATGATGAAAATTTCACTATTTATAATACAACATTTTACTGCTCAATTATAATTAGAAGTGTTGGTTAAATCAATTTAATTAATCATGCAATTCAATTAGAAATTTTTTTTAAATGTTAATATTTTTAAAAGGATTTATTGAAAAATCTGATATTTCTAGTTGTAACACATTGTCAATGGAAATGTGAAATGTAATTTGAAAATAAGATTATATTTAGAATTGCTACAAACAAAAAATTTTCATTGAACTTAAAATTTTATTTTGTAATTATTTTATATTTAATTTCTTACTATATATTCTGCTATGAAACAAACAAAAAATATTCAATGAATATAGAAGTAGCTATGATAATTAAAATTTTATTGAATTTATTTAGTAGCTCCATAGTTAGTGGTTAGTAATACTAGATAATGAACATTTTCCAAAATAAATTTAAGTTTATATTAACCAACTAATAGGATATTTAGCACTTGAAATTTGATGAAAAATGTAATATATTAGTGATTTATAGTTCGGGATTACTATATCAAGTGATGTACATAATAGTGTACAATAGAGTTATAATATATACTTTCATGACAATAACAATAATATTTTGTTACAATTTCTATTTTTACTAATAAAATAGAAATAATTATCTATTTTGATTTTTAGGTATAAATATAGTGTTTTGTTTCTAACATTCATTACATATGTTGCTTATCATGCTTCAAGAAAGCCAATTAGTGTTGTTAAAATTGTTTTATATCAAAACTGTTCTGAAATTACTCCTCCAGCTGGTATTAATACTACCGATCCAGACTGGTGTAATTGGTTACCATTTAGTAAGTTTTAAATTATATAGTATAACCTTGATTATCCAGTGTAATAAAGGGGAGGGATTACACAGACTAAGGGAATAATGTCTTGGAGACACATTATTGTAGTGGCTTAGCGTTCTCCAAAAAATGTTTTTATTGCTCCATAAAAAGACTCATGAGCAAAAAAAACAAATGGTCTATGATCAATTTACAATCTTAAATTCATTAACCATAGTGACCCTAGTTGTCCTTTAGACAATGGCTCAGGTGGCAATTGCATTCTTGGCCACACGGCCAGTAAGCTCCCGCACATAAATAAATGTAAGATAATGTTAAAATATTTTTTTTTACAATAAATTACCCACATATATAAATGTATAACATTAAATGTGTAACGGGAGAGTCACTTAATTTAGAACACTTAGGAGTTTCCTAAAAGAGCAATCCAAATTATAAATGTAGAACAGCACTTAAGTCCATATAGTAAAATTCCATAATTCCCTCCTTAATTCATGAATATTTATTATAAAATGAATATAAAGAGTTTTACTTTTACAAAGTCTAAAAAAAAGTAACATTTAAGTAATAATTATTATATCTTTTATTGGCCTAAACATATTATACCTTAGATTTACACAGATGTAGTACAATTTTAACTGATATTAATATTTATTGTCCAAAATATAGTGATAGTCTAATTTAGGTGACCTACTCTTCATATGTGAGTATATTATTATATGAAAGTATCAGCACTTAAAATATGAAACTAATAGGAACCTAATATTTATAAAACAATATGTGTAAAACATTTATTTTAGTGCACACAAATATTCAAGTAATGTGCACATTTAATTGAGAACACGGATAATTGAGACACTGTTAATCAAAATTCTACTTTATTTTAAATAACATAAATAAATAATTTTATATTTATAAACCGTTGTAAGTATGAATAAATACTATTATTATTTTAATATATTATTGAACAATTTTTAGATGAAGAGAATCACACAGCTTTATTTGGTACTTTAGATTCAGCGTTTCTTTTTGCATATGCTATTTCAATGTTTTTCAGGTACTAGATTTTATTATTAGAAATAATATTTTTTAATTGCTATCAACTTAACCAACCTTATATTGTTTTTATTTTAAGAAATTATAAAATTCAGTTAATTTGTGTAAAAAATTATTTTAATAATATACAACTTTTTAATTTGATCTTACATAATTTCTTTTCAAAAATTAAACAATTTTCAATCATTAAATCCGAATTCAAATAATTATAAAATAATATTATCCTTATACTATATTATCACAAAAAAATATTGTTTCAATTTCATTTATATGAAAAAATCGCATTGGTTAATGATTACATTTTTGATTAATTTACCTTATTCTTTACCAGTTTCTTTATTTTTTTAAGTTACATTATACATTTATCATTAAGATTAAGTTACATTATTTTAAATTTAAATAATAAAAGAATTAGAATATCAAATATTTATAATTTTTTTACTAAAATTATTATGTTTATTAAATGAAACTTTGGTATCTAATAATAATAATAATAATAATACTATTTATTTGATGTTATGTTTATTATAATTACTTTTTTTAGTGGATTAATTGGTGAGCGAGTTAATATACGAATTTTCTTAACCGTTGGAATGATTATGTCTGGTGTTGCATGTTCAATGTTTGGATTAGCTCACTATTACAACATTCATTCTATGTGGTATTTTATTGCTGTTCAGGTATGTTAAAGAAAATTTGAAAAAGTTATGTGTATACAAATTAAATTTATTGTATTAAAAGTAATGAAATTGTATACTAACTTATAATATATTTGCTTAAAATTGAATTTATTATTATATTATAGTATTATATGTTTAAATTGGTTCCCCTTAATATGAATAAATGAAAAAGGGACATTTTGAATAGAATAGTTTTGTAACTATTCTATTGTTATTTAATTTTATTATTAAAGATTTATTTATTTTTTTAAATAATTTTAGATATTTGGTGGCATTTCACAAACAACTGGTTGGCCAGGTGTTGTAACAGCTATGGGTAATTGGTTTGGCAAAGGAAATCGAGGTAAGATTTTTTTTTATTCCATTAATTTAATTAAATATTGTAGAAACATAAAATATAAATGTTTCAGGATTTATTTTTGGTATTTGGAATTCACATACATCAATTGGAAATATAGTTGGTACATTATTAGCTAGTTTTTATGTTGAATCTAACTGGGGATTGTCATTTATTGTTCCGGGTGTGTTGATATTTTCTTGTGGAATATTGAACTATTTGTTTCTTGTTGCCCATCCAACAGATGTAAATTGTACACATATGAAAGAAACCACTCAAAACGAACATAAGGTAACACTTATTAATTATTTATTTTAATATATATTTGTAAAGTATTATTTTAGTAACATGGAAGGAAAACAAAAAAATAATAATTACTTTAAATTATCTACTAAAATTAATTAGTCTAGTAGAAATTTATAATATTATTCAGTATAACTGATGATTTTCTACATTTTTGTAGTCTGTTTCTTAATTATATTTTTTTCTTTTTGTAATAAAACTATTATAAATTTCCGAGGTTAAATGTTACATTTCAATATTCAACATTAAAGCAGGTTTTAACAATTATTATTTGTCTTCCTATTTGATCTATTGTTATATATGTCCATAAGTTTCATCAAATATCATCATTCTAAAAGATACCAAAATATTTAACAAACTCATTATTTGAATTAGTTTTAAAATTTATTTACAATTGATAAATGTATTCTTAACTGATATTCTTTCTGGAAAATATTTCAGCTTTTGTGAACTTCTAATAGTTTTATGATAATGTGGTCTTAAAAAAAAATGAATATTGAACATTTATCTTAAATTTTGAGAAAAATATTTTTATATAGTTTATTAATAAATAAAGAATATAATTATTGCAGTATTTCTTATCATAAGTTAAACAAAATTTGTGCATTTTAATACCATATAAAAAAAACTTAATTAACTTCTAATTAAATACTCATTTTATCAATACTTAAGTTACTATTAAATATTGTGAATTAGTCTTAATATTGGTTTTAATAGTAACATTGCTTATATTTAATGGTTGAAGTACTTACAAAAATTCCATAATAAAAACTCCACCTTAGTATGGATATATATATATCCATAAAAATAACTTTATATACTTCAACTACTCCTTACATGATAAATATTAATTAATTGATTTTAATTTTGCTTGTAAGTCTCAATAGTTGTATATTATTCTTGAAATTATATTGTTAATGTCTTAGTGATATAATTACGGGTAAATTTTTCATAGTTAATAATTTTATTAACATCATAATTAAAACTTCTAATTAATTTTGTCCTACTAAATTGTATAATTAACAAGTATGTTTTTATTCAAACTATATAACTTATTGCTTGTTGGGCTTTGTTTTTGTCCTTTCATCAAATGATTAGAACTTAGAGAGAAATGGAGTACGAAGACAATCTTTAAGACACGATTGTACAGTAGCTGAAGAGAATGAAATATTAAAAGGCAGTTCAGAAGAGGTATGTTGATGTCATGCTTTCTATATGAGTTTGTTGCTTTTTATCACATTAATGGTGCCTTTTTACTTTTCACTTAATGTTAATTTGAATGCATGATACATCATCAATTGTAGTTGAAATAATAATTACAATATCTAACTCATTTTTTTTTTTTTTTTTTTTAAGATATATAAATTGATTTTTATAAGTGAAATTTATTTCACCAGCTTAAAAATTTATTTTGTTATTGCATTTAAATATTTGTTAAACTTACAATATTTAATATTTATTTTATAATACAACAAGATAAAAAATAATGCTAAAGAAAGTGTTTAAAAATACTGTATTATTTAGTTGTTAAAGCTTATGTGTTTGTTAAGTTTTTTTCACCATTTACAGTTGAATGAATCCATACTTTTGTTATTTATTAAAAACTGATGTTTCGACAAATTTTTTTTTTTAGTCGGGGTAATTGAAATCTGGTAGACACTCATCTTATCAGAAGCTATTGAAAATTAAAAATTTTTGTAAATAGAAAAAATATTAAGTTCAAAAAACTACGATAATATGTAGTTAAATATTTTTTTTTTTATTCCTTTAAGGATAAGAATTCTTACTTATAATTTTTTTAAATAAGAACCGCTAATTTGAATATTATAATATTATAAAAAAAAATTACAAACAACTTTCTTCTTAAAAAATTTCCATTTTATACATTATTTTAAGATTTGGATGGCAAATAAAAGGCGATGAAAAAGAAAAAGAGGATATCAAATGAAAACTCATCACTGATTTGGTTTTATGATACTGGTGACAATGCAATCGGTACTATTGCTGCCACCTTAGTTGCAATAATTTGTTCTGATAGCTCAAAAATTATTTATCATGGTAGTTATCAAAAAAAAATTTCACACTGGTTATATTACTGTCACCAAATCAATTATAAATTTTTACTTGACCTCAAAACCTTTAAATATTGTGTAAAACGCAAAAAGTTTAATCAAATAAAAAAAAATTGTAAGAACAAAGTTGTTAGTAATTTTTTTTCTATCATATTATAAAGCTCAAATTAGAGGTTCCTACTAAAAAAAATTGTAAATTAAAATTTTTATCCCTGAAAGGATGAAAAAGAAAATTTAACTACTTATTATTGTAGTATTTTGAACTTAATATTTTTTCTCTTTGCAAAAATTTAAAATTCTCAATAGTTTCTGAGAAGGTGAGTGTATTACCAGATTTTGATCATTTTGTATATTGTATTTATGTATTAAAAAAAAAAAATACTTGAAACAAATAATGTTACTAATTTTATGTTTTGAAATGTCAATTTTTTTTTTTTTTAATGACAATAATATTTTATTGTTGTAATTGTCATTTTATATTAAAAAACTAAAACTGAATGATCTCTTATTAAAATTACTTTAAATATAATGTTCTCTTTCTAAAGAAATTATTTAGTATATTTATAACAAAATAATTAGAATTAATTGTTTATACAAATATTTTTAAACAAGTGTTAAAGGTTACTCAAATTTCTTTTTTTATATTTGTAAAAAAAAAAAAATTATTCAATCCATAGGAATGCTTAAATATTAATTAAATTAAAAATTTGAAGGNTATTCAATCCATAGGAATGCTTAAATATTAATTAAATTAAAAATTTGAAGGCTATAGCACTTGAAATTTATCTCTTAAATTTTTTCTATAAGTGCCTTTAAAATACCCCTCCTACATATTATCAATATATTAAAGTATATATTTTTGAATATTTGAATATTTAAAGTAAAATTTATGTTTTATTTGACTACTTAAATTGCATTCTTTCCATACTATAAAAACTTATTTCGTAAACCATATATGAGCAACATGTTTTCTCAAAAAAATATCTTATATTTTAAGATTTTCATAATTAAGAAATTTTTCTCATACACATTTAAAATACTATATTATGGTACATTTATTTGTATATCAGCTAACTTATAAATGCTATCTTTACTGTAAATTATTCGATATTTTTAATTCTAATTAAAACCTTATGGTGGTCATGGTTATTTGTTGCACTAGATGTATGCAATTTTTCTAAATTGGATCTTGTAATATTTTAGGAACAAATTTAAAGCTATATTTTATTATTACTTGTTTATTTTAGTTTTTATATTTATTACTATTTTAACTAATTAGCTTATAGTTAGCTGAATGTATATCGTCCAAAAAAATATTAAAAAAAGTTTTTATTCCATGAAGCTGGAAATCAACAAACATTTTCTCACGAAATAGCCAGGTATTGTGATAATTGTCTGATTGGTGTTGTCTTATATGCTTTATGCTTTTAAATTAGTAGCAATTGTCTTTAATTATGAAGCTTAGAATGAAATGTTTCAATTCTTATACAATGTATATTTGTATACTATACATTTATATCTAAAGAATGATCTTATTTCTATTGGTTATTATCTGTACTATATTAGTGGTGTTGGAAACAATTCTTTCTTATTTTTTATTTTGTAATCTATTATTTAGTTTTCAATTTTGTTATTATAATTTTGAAGTTATGTCTCTATTGTGTAAATTATTAACATTAAAAAAAAAATTTTTATTTATTATATATCAATTTTTTTTTTGTTACTGAGTTATTTAAATAATATTCCTATGTCTAAAAAGCAAATTATTTAGAAAACAAATTTAAACATTTTTATATTGAAACAGGGTTTAGAATTTTTATCTAAATATTAATCAAATACATTCTCATTATCATTGATTGGGCTGAAAATATATTGCATTCATATTCCACTTGCTCAGAAAAAAATGCATTTATAAAACATTAATTCAATTTTTTTTATAAAACCTTATATTGTGTTTGTCATACAAAATCCAATGAAATATAAACAATATATAAAATATAAATATAAAATTTTATTGATTCTTAGGTTAGAATTAGCTGGTTTAATAAAAAAAAAAGTGTATTTATATTGAATTATTAATTATAAAACATTTTTAAGTAATATTAACTTACTGTTTAATTAAAATTCTAAATTAAAACAAGCTTTGTTATATTTGCTTTTCACGTATAAAAAATAAAGAATTCTATTGTAATTATGTTATGCTTAATTTCGTCCTTGACTTAGATTAAAATATCAATTTATTTTTAATTTTATTGCATATAATTTTTAAATGATTAATTAATCAAAATAAACTTTTTCTTATTTATTGAATTAGTTTTCTAATAAATTATAAATGGTAGTAAATTTTAATGGCAGCTATCATTATTTCTTAATGAAAAAGGGTAAAAATTAAACTAATGAATTGGGAAGTAACTTAATTATTGATAATAAAAAATAGTCTAAGGATGGGTTAGTATTACATACTTTAAATGTCATTGGTTGATATATTAACTAATTATTTGTTGACATAACTTAATTCAATTTCATGCATAATACAATTTTGATATTTTCCTAGCATAGTAATAACTATAAATAATGGTCACACAAATTTAATCTTACATTTTTTCATAGTTCAAATTTTAATAATTAATTGGCCTTTTTATAATGAGCTTAATGATAAATAATCAAGTGCACCTGTCAAGTTGTTTGTGCTATGTATTATGCTTAAATGTAATACACGCACTAAAAATTTAATTAAATTTTTTTTTGGCACGTTATAAATTACTTTTATTAGCATGTAATATTTATTTTATGATATAACATTCTTATCAAATTTAATTTTAATTTATCTGGCGTGGTAATCACTTTTTAGTCATTTAAAAATAATTACTCATTTATATTAATATACATATTCTTAATTCTTAATGAATAGATTATTTTTAATACAGCATGAAAAATAATTAATGTTATCTTGTATTATAAAAAAGTAGTAATAGTAATAATTTATTAATTACAACATTCTGATTGCTTTTGTTATGCTTGTTTTCATTAGAAAAAACCCAGCATCCTCCCGCCTCAAGAGGTGTCTGTACCTCTTGGCGACCTATCACCTAAGGAGTTGTCGTTGTTACCTTCTCACAAGGTAAAGTTTTTTTTTTACAAATAAAGCCTCGGCAACAAGGGCCGTTGGCTACTACATATATGAAATATTCACAGTCTAATTAATAATTGGTAAAGTCTTATTGTTTCTTTTATATTTATATTTTAAATGTATGATCTATTCTTAAATAACTTTCATGTAGTTTTTTCTGCGAGCACTATTATTTTTAGATATTCATTATCGATATTTTTGTACAGTAAGACTCGTTTTTGTAAAATTTATTACAAACTTTCTTTTATACTTCTAAAACAAGACAAATTTTAAGTAGCATTTATTTTTGATTATATAATAATTCTATTATCTATAATAATAGTTCGTAGTATTTTTTGGGAAAACGTGTCTACTGAGTTATTTATTATGTATTTAGATGAAGATCCATTCTACTATACAAACTGTCAGAAAGTAAATGATCATGATACAATAAGCTTTTTTTTATTTATGAAATTGTTTAATACATATTATGTATATATATATATTTATTTTTGTCATTATGTAAGTGCTATAAAATTATTTGAAAAAAATAAGTTTACCACTAATATAAGTAAATTTTAATGGTGAAAGATTATTATAATATTAACTGTTGCCTAGAATAAGTAAGACTAGACTTTGTTATTTAAATATTTGTAAATAAATTTTTTATGTAAAAAAAGGTGATGGTTATTGAGATTTTTTTATTTTGGAAATTTTGTATTAATAAAAAACTTAATTATTTACAGGATGAAACTAAAGAAAGAGCTGAAGGCAGTCCTATTCTATCACCATCTAATAGCTCAAAGAGAGCTGTAGGTTTTATCGGTGCTATAAAAATTCCTGTAAGTTTTTCTTCATTAAATAACTTGTATGTTGTAATATTTTAAGAAATTTTAAATTATTATAGTATACTATATTATATCATTTATGTGAATTTTAAATTTTATCTTAAACTATACTAGAAACTAAATACAAGGAAAGTTTTACACTAAAAAACTGTTGAATAAGATATCTAATATGAATTTATGTTCTAAAAAAACATTTGAGGGGTAATACAAAAACATTCTTTTTTTTTAAAAAAAATCAAAGAAAATTTATTAATTGAGTTTGCTACTTTTATACTATATAATAAGATAAATACTTTTAGGCTCTTATTTTAGCTTCCTAAAAAATTTTCATAGCTCCACTTCTAAAAAAAAATTGATGAAAAATACATAATATCAAAAAAAAACATAATTATTTTAGCCTCCATTTCTTTTAATCAGTACCTATTTTATATGAAATTATCATTCTCCTATGTGTGTAACCTTGATTTTTCAGTATAAAGGTTTATATCACATAGAAATATTTTCCATGTAAAAAATAATTTTTTTCTGCATCTAAAAATAACAAAGTCATTTTATCAATTTTGCACGTAGGTGATTTTTCCCTGTAAATGATATAATATAGGGAAGGATATATTGGTTAAATATTCAAAAAAAATATTATTATATGCTTTAAATGTTAAAATATACTAAGTACATTTAAATATGCAATTTTATGAAAAATATGATTTATTTTACTGATTCCTTATATCTTAAAAATTATATTATGAAAAATAATATGAGTTTCTAGTTGTGATGATAAATTTTATTTTATTTATGCCCAACAATGTTTTTATAATCATTATCTCAGTTCTTCATAATGTGTCAATTTTTTTTAATTTACCAATAATTTTTAAAGTATTCAAATAATAATATTTATTTTAATATTTACTCAAGTGAAGTTTGATTTTTAAAGTTCTAAATATTTTGGCATATTGAGAAAATAATTAATCTAAAATTAAATATTTCAACTATTAAATCTAACCAAAACTTTTGTTGAACTTTTCAGGGTGTAGTAGAATTTTCTATGTGCTTATTTTTTGCAAAACTGGTTAGTTATACGTTCCTTTATTGGCTACCAAACTACATCAAGAATTCTTGTATGTAAATTTAATTATTATATTGTATCATTACTTAAAATTAATACTTGTATTTTTTTCAGCTACATATAGCCCATCTGAAAGTGCTGATTTATCAACACTTTTCGATTTTGGTGGTATTTTTGGTGGAATAGCTGCTGGAATATTTAGTGACATGTTTGGAAAAAGTGCGTGTACTTGTGCGGTTATGCTTTTAATGGCCATACCTGCTGTAAGTTAGAAATTATGTGTTCTTATTGTAATTTTTCACTAACACTGAATTAAATAATTTTAGTTATACACTTATAATTTATTATCATCAATGAATTTGTTCATAAATATTTCACTATTGCTGGTCGCGGGTGCTTTAGTAAATGGACCGTATGCTTTAATTACTACAGCAGTATCAGCTGAACTTGGAACACATAGTTCTTTAAAAGGCAATGCAAAAGCATTAGCCACTGTAACATCAATCATTGACGGGACAGGTTCAATAGGTAAATAAATACCTAGTAAATAACTCAAAACTCAACTAATATACCTAATAATTAATTTAGAATTTTTTTTAATGAAAATTATGAATATAATATACTATTATTTTTAATGTAGGGGCTGCCGTTGGACCCCTGTTAGCTGCTTACATATCAAGTTTATTTGGCTGGACTAGTGTATTTTATATGCTAATGGGATCCAATGTCCTTGCAATTCTTGTAAGTATTTAACAGCAACTTACAATATAACATGATTATTAAGTATTAAATTTCTTTAGTTGCTGACACGATTAGTCAAACGAGAGATTCAAAACATTGCTTAATAGATGTATAAAAAAAACCACATTAAAAAAGACTTACTTGATTACTAATAAATGTAAAATAAAATGTATTTAAAATGTATACTTTTGCACACATATGTTATAAACACATAATATGTTTTGTGTTAATATGTTGTGCACTATTTAGAAATAATGCAAATAGAAATTGATCATCAATTTCATAAAATTACATGTTATTGTGAAAGGGTTTATTATTAGATAATCTATTACAATGTTGATGTACGCATTTGATATTTATTTACATTAAATGTTAAGTTCTTCGTTCCATTTTTATCTTTAGCGCTTTTTGTATCATGTATATTTTTATTACTCTCATTTTACATACCTCTTTTTTCTTTTATGTTAATAATTTTTCTTCCATTTACAAGCAGCTATCAATTTTATTAAAGCTGATTGAACAACAACTAGCTATTGAATGTTTAACATATAAGTTAATTTAAAACTGAATATCTGTGATTTTCTGTAACTTTTCCAAACTGCCTAATTGGAATGAATATTAATAAAAATTGTAATGTTATGCTTTATGTGACATATCATTAAATTAATTTATATAATGACTAGAGTTAAATAAAAATATATATATATTTAGTTATATTTTCAAAATAAACTGTATATTTCATTATTTATTTATGTATTTTTATTATTTGAACTATGAAATTTCATAGTATAGTAGTAAAATAATTTGGAATGATTTGTTCAATAAAAAAAGTAATAAAATTCAAAAAAAGTATATGTTACCTAGTATTAAAGCATTTCAAAATTAATAAGTATTAATGTAACTTCGTTGTTTTCTGTGAAACCAAGTTCAAATGTTTGTAATATAATCAAATATTATTTTTAATATTATATACCAATTAATAAATTGTCTACTTGAATTTTACTATTCAAACATGAATTCACTATTTATTAATAATAGTAATTTTTTATAAAATTAAAAAAAATTCATAATTTTTGTATAATTTAATGACATTTTGGAGTTGGCAATTATTCAGCTTTGATATAGCTGTAGACGTCGTGTGAGGGGCTAGACACTCCATTTTATAAATATGTATCCCCAATGTTGTAATTGTATGTAAATTAAACATGAAAAAATTAGAAAAACACTATTAGCACGATGAGCTCCTTAGTAATAGCCCCTTTTAAATTTTTGCCCTTGGGTTTCAACGTGTCTTAATTCAGGATTGTTATTACTTAACAGAATTGTTATTGTGAAAAAATCACAATAAATTGCTTTCCAAGTCAACAAAGGTTAGTAGAAAACTGTACATATTTTAACAACAATAACATTTATTAAAAACAATCGTGTTATGTATGATTATTTACTATGACATAGTAAAATACGAAAGACATTATAATACAACTTTTGTATTATATTTTAATGTGATATCATTAACGGTACCGAGCGGGGGAGTTGTATATTAAGTTTGGTTTTAACTGTAGTCTACTAAAGACGATTAATTTAAGTTAAAAATTATTTGATATATACGCGGTTAACCAAACATGTCTATATATCGTGCACTATAAGCACTTCTGCTAAAAAAATACACAAGGATTATAAAATGACATTCAAAATTTTTTTTATCTTGGGAACCTATTTTGCAAAGAGTCGTAACTTTTTTTTTTAACTTATAATAGGTCAGTTAACAAAGGAGTAATTTTAGCAAATGGCGAAAAAAATTCTCAACCAAATTTTTTTTTTAAAGTTGAATTAAGATATCTATAATGACATACTAAAAGTCTCCATCAATTGGACTTGAGTTTTTTTTAATTTTTTCAAAAAATATTCAACTTACAAAAAAAGTTTCGTACAAAAGTTGTTTAAAAGACAATTTTAAATAAAAAAGGTCTTATTTATTTTTTCATTTAAACAAATATATTTGAGTTACATTACATTTAATATGAGTACTAAAATTTATTTTACATTTTACAATTACTTTTTATAGTGTTATACTTACGTCAGACACAATGTTAAAAATGGATATGTGTGTATGTGTGAGTTTATTTATTTGTAGTATATATTAAGATACAACCGACAAAGTAGGTAATTGATTTGACGCTAATTATAGATTGAATTTTATCTTATAATATTAACAACCGTTGTTAGGTTTATCGATAATGTACTTGTATAACAGTAATTTATCGTCTTACAGCTGTAAGACGAGATAGTAATAGTAATACGAGCAAATATTGTGTGATATAGTAGTTTTGAGTTAAAAAAATTGTATTATTTTATTTTAAAATATGTCTTATATCACATGATGAAATAGCTTGTCATATTTATACAGAACATCTTAAAATGAAAAATCTTTGAATAAACATCGCTTTATTTTATTCACGAAAAATAAAACTTATCTTGCTTTACTCCCTCTGACAGAAAATACTGCTAGACAACACTCTTACCGAATTTATTTACAAGTCCAGTTATGACTGGGTCGTAAAAATATCGTGAAGAGTGGGGTGGGTTTTTCAAAATAATATTTTGTTAATTATTAATTGATAATATTAATGTTATTAGAGTGACATTAGGTGTTCCTCAAGGTGATCATTTATCACCTCTCTTGTTTCTTATATTTATAAATGACATTGTAAATGTATTGAAATACTCAAAAATACTGCTCTTAGTAGATGATGCGAAACTATTTATGCCCATTAACACTATTTCCGATGCTATTTGCTTTCAAACTGATATTCATAATTTCGCTATGTGGTGTAACGATAATGGTATGACTCTCAATACAAATAAATGCTCTATATTATTCTTTACACTAAAAATACCTCGTACTGCATGATTATTTTTTAAAAAATCATCTTCAAAGAGTAGATAATGTAAAAGATCTGGGAGTTACATTTGATACAAAACCAACTTTTAATGCACACATAAAGGAAATAAAAATAAAGGCTATGTCTAATTTATATTTCATAAAAAGAAGTTGCCATGAATTCTTTTGCACAGCGTTCTAAAGGCAGTTTATTTTTCATTAGTAAGATCTTGCCTTGAATACGCTTCCCTGTTTGGTTTAATAATTCTTTTACTCAAATTCATGACTTAGATTCAATACAAAATAATTTTTTTAGATATTCATCATTTAAATGTAAGGCTAAAAGGATACCCCATTCTGGTTACGATGGAGTTTTAGGATTTTTTAATATTAATACTTTAGGTTATAGAAGGAACAGTCAAAATTTAGTGTTTTTATATAAACTTATTAAAGGTGACATTGATTGCTCATTCCTTCTTGAGCGTTTATAATTTAAAATACCTAAAGTTAGCACACGATTTAAAGATTTATTCTACGTAAAAAATATTAGAATCTTATCCCATTATTGTTTTAATTTTGGCGGATAATAGAGCCGTTGCGGATTTTTTCGTTTGTAGTAATATTGATAAATTAAAATCTTTATACATTAAATAATAAAAATTATTAATTTATAATCTATAATATATATTTACTTGTATTAATTTGTGATTTGATTGTTACGTGTTCTCAACTGTTATAATATTTATATATAAATTGTAAATGGAGTTATTTCCGTAATAAAGATATTATTATTATTATTTTAATTTTTAATTATGCTCCATTAATTCATTCTTCTTCTTCTTCCTCATCTTAATCCCAAATATTTGGGGTCGGTCATCCAACCCAACCTTTAATTCATTATAATTCATTTAAACTAACTTATAGCGAATGAGCCTGCGTACCTGATATTAATAATTTTTAGTTCGATTTTATTTTAAATATTGGTTTTCTTCTAGTAATGCGTTTGATCAAAAAAATATACACATTATTATTATTTATCGAAATTAATTATTGGGTCCGTAATTATAAATGAAGTACAAAATGTATAATATAGGTAAATTAAAAATATTTTGTTTTAGATTTTTCTAAACTTATGATTGGTTAGTCTCAAAATAATAGAAACATTTTTGCCGCGTTATATTTACAAATTGCCTGAGAGACGATGGAAATGTATAATAAGTGAGTAAAATACTTCGGATAAACTTTTTTGTTTTTCATCATAAAAAAATATGGGTTTTTACTAAAAATACAGAAAATTTAAGCTTTTACATCAGGTAATACCAAGTCCTGTATGTACCAAATATATTTGTAAATAGATATACAATGCCTAAAATATATTTTAATATTTAAAGAGTGCTCAAAGAGAAAAATTTGATAGTAACAGATTTATTTGAATTTTTTTTTACTTTAGCTTGATATCTTTACCCATCATTAGAGGTATGTATGAAAATAAAACCTTTGATTATTAGGTTACATATGAATAATCAATAAATATATTTTAATTAAAAATAAGTTGAAAAAGTTCTACTTTTGAAACGCATTTTTAAGTTTTGGACCACCCCTGTATAAAGGGAAATGGTCCGATTAAAAAAAAAAAGGTATGTCAAATGAAACAAGTATACAAATTATATTTTTCATAAAATATATTGATTCGGTCATTTTTAAAAAAGTTATGGCAATTTTAAGTAAAAAAACCCAGCACAGTGGGGTCGCGGCATAGTGGAGACGTTGCATAGTTGGGTTCAGTATAGATGATATCTGACAGTGATTAAAATCACTATCATAAAAAACGCTTCGATGCAAATCTGTAGATAGTATTTAATTTAAAAAAAAAAATTTGTTAAAAAAGTAGGTCAAATGAGAGCTGAGAAAATAAATGATAGCTACAAAAAAAAACCACATAGTAAAATAATATTAATATGAATTTCTTCTCGCGAGAGAAGACTACAGTAATGGAATCCTTGATATTTATTGAAGTTATTGAATCTAAATGAGATAAAAATCAAATGAGTTAAACATTTTTTTTTAACTCAAAAAGAATTAAAAAAAAATTCAGTGCCACAGTCGTGAAAGACCCAAGTGTTACCGTTTCAAAAACCGTACGTCTCATTCGTCACTTAATAAATTTAGCTAGTTCAAATTTTAAAGTTATTTTTCTCGACTTCAAAGAAACAAAAAAATTTAAATATGTTTAATTTTTTATACTATGTCAATTAGATTGATATAATATTTATGAAAATCAGTGTAATCCCCTTATAATAAAATAAAATACAAAACCAAGAATTTTAACACAATAATAGCATATTTTTAAATACGGTAGCTATTTTCACCATAAAGACAAAATAAAGTCCAAAAATTTTTTTTTTTATATTTAAGTATATTGCATAAACTTTAATTTAAGATATATATAAAAGTGTCAGTATTTCCGGAAAATTTTCAAAAATTAAGTTGAAAAAGTTCTACTTTCTATATGCATTTTTTTGAACCCCCCCTGTATTAAGGGAAATAATCCGATTTAAAAAAAAATTAAGTCGACTTATATAGAAGAAATATATAAATATTATTTCTCATAAAAAAATTGTATTCATCCAAACATTTTTCAAAGAGTTATAGCGTTATAAAGTTAAAAATATGAAAAATAATATTTTTACAAAAATCGTATTTTTTTTATAAACTTTGATGACTGTTTTCACCATGAAGACAAAATAAAGTCTGAATTTATTTTTTCCATAATAAAGTATATTTCATTTGCTTTAATTTAAGTTATATATAAAAGTGTCAGTATTTCTAGAACACTTTCAAAAGTTAAGTTGAAAAAGTTAATTTTTTGTGAAAAAGTTAATTTTTTGTGAAAAAGTTGTCATTTTGAATTCCCCCCCTGTGGGCTGGTAAAGGGTTAAATTTATAATAATATACCAAATGGTAGGTAAAGACATCAAGCATCTATAAAAAAAAAATTATATTGATATGTTCATTTTTGAAAAAGTTACGGCAGTTTTTAGTAAAAAAAATTGAAAAAATTTCGAAAATTAGTGATTTTTAAATTTGTAATTTTTTTGGAGAATTCACCCATTTACGAGGAACGAGGGAAATTTTTTCAATTTTTGAAGGTAATGTCTTCTACTAGATACGATTTGTGATTTTTAGACGTATCGTTGAATGAAATCGGTTGGTGAGAGCTGAGAAAAAGTGGTAACAGATACGAAAAAAAAAAACACATCTTGGTAAAATTAATACCTTCTCAGCTTCTCAGAGTTGATCATTAGGCGATAATAGGGCGTGATTGGAGAGGTGGAAAGTTTTAAGTATTTAGGGTCAGTTGTTCAAAAGAGCGGTGGTATTGACAAGGATGTAAGACACAGGATTAAGTGCGGGTGGTTGACGTAGAGAGAAGCGTCTAGCGTATTATGCGATAAAATAATTCCAATGAGGCTGAAAGGTAAATTCTATTAGACTGTAGTGTGGCCAGCTATGATGTTCAGAGTGTTGGGCGATTGATAAGAAAGTAGAGCAGAGAATGAGTGTAGCAGAGATAATAATGCTTAGATGGATGAGTGGAGTGACTAGAGAAAATAGGATAATGAACGAGCATATAAATGTAGATGTATAGCATATAGATGTAGCATCAATCGTGGATAAGATGAGAGAAAATATATTTAGATGGTTTAGTCATGTTATGAGAAGAAGTACAGGAAGACAAAAAAAGAGATGGAGAGATGTTATTGAATGTGATATGAGGACAGCTGATGTGAGCGTAGATGATGTGGGTGATCGTGTCAAGTGGAAATTTACGATAACGGTGGCCGACCCCAAGTAGTTGGGATTAAGGCGAGAAAGAAGAAGAAGAGTTAATCTTCTTAAAATTATTTGCATAAATACACACAATATAAAGTATAACTTAAGGAATTTCTTTAATGTAAACAATTAAGCATGTTCGATCTTAATATATAAATTATGTATTGCTATTTTTACTATTGCAGAAAAACTGTTTTTTCTTGATTTATGTTCGTTTTATTCTCTTATTTTTAAGAAAGTAATCTATTTCCTATTGTAACTTAAAATGAATATAAAATTATGGTAGGTGGTTCGGTATGAGCATGAAGATGATTGAGTTGCTATGTGTTTATTAAATAATATAATATATATAATTTTCTCTCGGGGTATGAGTTCGAGGTTTTAAGAGGTAAAGGAAGACCAACAAAGATATGGAGGAATGCTATTGAATGTGATATGAGGACAGCTGATGTGAGCGTAGATGATGTGGGAGATCGTGTCAAGTGGAAGTTTAGGATAAGGGCGGCCGACCACAAATTTCTCTCTTTCTCTCTATGGTTTCAATCCGTGGATTGGTTTGCAGCCATCTTCCATTCTCTATTATCCGCTTTTCTTTTCATTTCTACATATGAGTTGCATCCTTGGTCCTTTATTATCTGTTAAATATATTCCAATCTTGGTCTTCCCCTATCGTTCTTCCCCTCTACGCTTCCTTCTATAATCAGTTTTAACAATCCTTCGTGTCGCATTATGTGGCCATCCATTCATTTCGTCTCCTAAATATATTATTCCATAATAACTTCTTTCCTTCTACATTGGTTTAGTTTCCTCGTAGTTTTATATGTACCTTGGCTTTTATTTTTCCTTCCACAGACGAGTACTTTTGTTTTTTGCGCGTTTATTTTCATACGCAAATCCTTAACGAATATTTCATCCATAGTTTTCATCAACTGATCTAAATCTTCCTCATTTTCAATAATTAAGGCTATGTCATCAGCGAAGCGCAACATTATTATCTTCTGACCGTTGATTTTTATCCCTAGATTGGTATCTTCTTTTATCTTATCTATTGCTTCTTGAATATATGCGTTGAATAAAATTGGAGGTAGCGTTTATCCTTGTCTAACTTCTTTATTTATTTTTGCTTCTTCTACTTTATCTTGTATTTTTACAACAGCTACCTCATCTTTATATAATTTATACAGCAGTTTCCTATCTACGTGCTTTATTCCCATTCTTGTCATCATGTTAAACATTAACGTCCAATTCACATTATCAAATGCATTTTCAATATCCACAAAAGCTATGAATGTTTCTTTATCTTTCCTAATCCTTTTCTGAATAATTATTCTCAATGCCAAAATTGCTTCTCTCGTTCCCATATTTTTCCTGAACCCGAATTGGACATCCGTCAGCGATTGTTCTATTTTGGATTCAATACATTGGAATTAATCTTTGTTAGTATTTTGGAGGCATGGGATAGCAGACTAATTGTACCGAATTCTTCACATTTTTTCGCTGCTGCTTTGTTTGGGATGGGAATAATTATACTTTTTACGTAATACTCCGGCAATTCACCAGTTTCGTATATATCTCAGATAATTTGAAATAATTTGTTTTTAACTTTTTCTGCCGACTCCTTCCAAAGCTCCGCTTGTATTCCATCAATTTTTGCTGCTTTTTTATTACTCATTTCTATTATTTATTACCTATTTCTTTTAATGATACGTAAGAAGATACAAAAGATCACATATCATATCTAGTTGAAGACATTACCCTCAAAAATTGAAAAAATTTCCCTCGTTCCCCGTAAGTGGGGTAAATCTGCAAAAATATTAAAATTTTAAAAATCGCTAATTTTTGACATTTTTTCAATTTTTTTTACTTAAAACTGCCATAATTTTTTAAAAAAATAACTAAATCAATATCACTTTTTTTTTATAGATATATGAGGTATTTACCTATCATTTTTTAAATATATATATTTTTAATTTCACCCTTTACCTGTATGATATCTTTGAGTTAAAATTCTCGATAATATATTTTACATTTTTAACTTTATATTTCTATATCTTTTTTAAAAAGTATTAATCAATACAATTTTTTCTTGAAAAATACTATTTATACATCTCTCTCATTCGATATACTTTTTTTTTAAATCGGAGAATTTCCTTTAATACAGGAAGGGTTCAAAACTTGAAAATGCATTTAAGTAGTAGAACTTTTTCAACTTAATTTTTGAAAGTGTTCCGAAAATACTGACACTTTTATATATATCTTAAATTAAAGCTTATGTAATATACTTTAATATAAAAAAAAAATTTTTCGAACTTTATTTTGTTTTCATGATGAAAACGGATATCAAAGTTAGTAAGAAAAATACGATTTTTGTAAAAGATTAAATCTTTAAATATCAATTTCATACTATATTTCATTGTTAGAATAAATATTTATTCATACAATATACTTATAACTCATAAACATGTAATCAGGATATAAATGAGGAAATAGGATATCATGTTGCTTTTGCAATAATCAACCAAGTTTTTAAAATTAAACACTATCTACAGATTTGCATTGAAGCGTTCTTTATGATAGTGATTTTAATTACTGTCAGATTAAATGTATACTAGACCCAACTATTACACGAGCCTATTGTGGTGTTTTTTTTTAATTCATTACTCAATCACTGGTTTAACATTACATCAATAATTTTCATAATTTAATAAATTTTGTCTTTATTTTATTTTCTTAAAAATAGAAAACTCAATGAATATTTTATCATTGTTCATTACTACAACGGGTTTATGAGTATTCAAATCAACATTATTCTATTAATTACATTTTTTTTAATAATCAAACTCTAAATAATATTTTACAATTAATGTCAATTATTAAAAATAATTTTAAAATTAAAAATTTTTATTTTATAGTAAAAATGAAAAAACGAAATTTTATATGTTAATATTATTTTTAAAATATATGAATTTTGATTTTAGTCCGTTTATACAACTGCAAATTAAGTTAAATAAAATGATATTATGAACCACATTATTATTGTTTTTTTTTTACATAATAATTTTGTGACAATTAATAAATTTCAAATATTTTTTTAATAAAGTAAACATTTCCTTGGATTTCATATTCGTGTAATTTTATCATGGGACAATTTAATTGTTCAAAACAATAATTTTTTCCAATAATAAATAGATTATTTAAAAAACAAATACAATAATACAATAAAATGTTTGATTTATGTTAGTTACAAATATTTATTGATTTATCAACTAATAATTACTTTTTAGAATCATCCTTAATAACTTATAGAGGTGTAAACTTTATTTTTAAATTACCAACATAATTATTTACTGGCTTATTTATAAATTAATGGACTAATTAAGAAAATTTCTGGTCGATAACTACTTTTAAACCAGTACTTTGGAAGTTATTTTCATTTTTATACCTAGACAGTAGGAAGAGTACAGCAGAAATGACTAGTGATAAAAATAGCAGTAGCCACCTCTAATCGTAACTTTAAATTGTTAATAACATCTGAAATACTACTTCAGAAATTGTTATCGACCAGTCATTTTCTTAATTAGACCACTATTTTATAAATAAGCTAAATTATACACGTTGGCAATTGAACAATAAAGTTTACAGCCGTATAAGTTATTAAGGATGATTCTAAAAAGTATTTTATAGCTAATAAATCAAGAAATATATATAACAACAAAAAATCAAAATTTTTATTCAGATTATTATATTTATTTGCAAGTAACCGATCACCTGTAGTTCCATCGCTATGTAAAATACTTCAAAATCTGTCAATTTTACTGAAAATTTATGATTTTTGGTTTTAATTAGAAAATGCATTGTATTAGCTTCTCTTAATGTAGGTCATAATTAGTTAAAAAAAAACTTCGAATAAAAATATAATTATTTTAATAAAAAAATTATACGAATTCACTTAAACAAAACAATTATAATTTATAGTATTAAACTCTTTTTTAAAAAAAATGTTTTTTTAATTATTAAAAAATGAAAAATGATCGCTATTTAAAATAATAAAAGTATTTATCAATACTATAAAAAAATTTTTATATTAAATAAAAGAAATTATTTATACGATTATAATTATTATTAAATTATAATATTAAAGTATTATCAAATATTATTTACAATTTTGGCATCGTCAACATACTATACATTATAAAAAAAATATTATTTTGATTTAATAATGTGTATCATAACACCAACGAATAAACACTGAGCCATTCTATGCATCCAGTAGAATCTAAAAATCGTATTTTAATCATTATTTGTTTATGTTGAATTGTTAAAAATGATCTTACTTTTGCAATTTACTAAGTCCGATCGGAATAGTGGATGGTGGATCTTTTAACACAAACTTGCGTATACCATACACGTAATCTTTTACATAGCTGTCCCAAACGACCTGAGTAATATCAACGGGAAACGTAACCCGATCGTTTGAGGTAAAGTCTCTGTTTAATTCCCGAATGTTATTACTGATGAAATCCCATTGATGCAATGCAAAGAACTCACCAGTGCGAGCTGCCATTTTGAAACGACGATAAATGTTCAGCATCCTGTAAACCAATTCAGTGTTACCGAATGCTAATAATGAAATATTATATGGCAATAAACTTACATAGGTTTTGACCCCGTTAACCTTAGAACAATATCTAATATAAATGCAGGTACAAAATGAAATAGAATTTCAATTAATCTGTGCACCATGCGGTTGGTACGAAATGAGAATCCCGGATACCATTGAATGTATTTGGATGGAACTGTTAATGAATGGTATTGGGTCAAACCACCCAATTCTTCCCAACGCAACGGGTTCAGTGCACCCGAAGTACAATTGTAAACTCGAACAGCATTTTGTCTATAACCAAAAATTAAACGAATTTATTTGGAAATTATAATTACAATAATAACTCCCTATTTTAATGTTAAGTCTACTGCATATAGATTCACAGTTTTAACTTGTATTGTTTACACTCCACTTCATGAGACCTAAACTTTATATCCACTATACGCATTTTTAAATACTAAAGATTTATACAGTACCTAAAGGAAGCTGTGTGCCAGGCTGAAGTAATTAATGTGTTAACCAAAATATCCACAGGTATGATGTCTACACGTAGCTTTTGATCACAAACAATACTTCTTATTGTACCTCTTCCAATTTCCATCATGATACCAGTTATTCCACTTATATTATCAACCCAGCCTTCAAATGGTTCTTTCCAAGCTGCAGTCACTGAAGTAATTTGAAAAAAAGTAATCAGATTAAAGAACATATATTTATTACAAAGCATTGTAGGCCGTCGAGTGTTGTATTATCTATTTAATAAAAAATTATTTTTACTTAATACTAATCCAGATTTACCTATACTTGGTCTTACGATAGCTGCGGGTATTTCATCGGCCCGTTCTGCAACAACCCATTCTGCCATGGCTTTAGTCACAGTGTATGTGTTGGGGTGTTTGCCTTGCAGTCTTTGACCCATGTGTCGCAAATCATCTTCAGACATTTTTTGACAACAATTGATCACTAAGTCTGGGTCTCCTGGTGGTTTATAAACTAATTCCTCAATTATAGTCTTATCTGCATTTGAATATGCCGTTGACACGTGTATCATTGCCTAAAACAACACTCAATTTTCAATACAAACTTTGGCTTTACTTTTAAATAACTTCCTCTACAAGTATGTACTCAATATAAATAAAAATATAACTTACTTTAATATGAGTTAAACATAAATAAGCTAAAATGTAAAACATTTTAATTCAATAGCCTTGCTCGATTTAACATTTTTTCAAAATTTATTTTACGATCTCTGGTACCTTACCATTATATAAGTAATTTTTATAATAGTAATTTATGTAATAAATTTTTAGAAATTTTAAGCACCTTCAGTTTAGCCATGGATCTACATAGCTCAATGACTCGTAATGTTCCCAATGTGTTGAGTGTAACGGCTGTGCGCAGTGACTCGTTAAACTTGACAGTAGCTGCCGAGTGGAACACGACGGTGACTTCGGAACATAGTCTTTGTTTGTCTTCAGCACTAAGACCAAGTTCAGGGTCAGAGACATCACCAGCTACGCACACTACTTTGCTAAATAAGTTATCTGAATCGGCTGATGATCTAATACGATCAAATACCTGTAACAACCAATTATACCATATAAAAAAAATTACTAAATATATATATAATCTGATTTTTCTTTAGATATGTACAATAATCATTATCAATAATATTAAATGTTAAATTAATTTTAAGTTTGTTGTTTAATATTTAATGTTGATTACGTTAAAAACAACAAGTTTTTATGTTACATTCAAGAAAATTTTATATTTAACCATCAATAATAATGAATTAAGTTTTAATCAATTTTTAAAAGCAATATTTTTATTTTTAAATGTACTTCTAAAGACGAGTCCAGGCAAAGCTTATTTGCCATATGGATTTGGCCATGCGGCACTAATTTAATATCACAAATTCATTTTATGCAATTTTTTTCAAATTTTGGATGGGGTCTTTGTTAAGTGGTCTGGATCGAAGAAAAGCCACGTAGTTTCTATCGTTTTGCAATTGTCACACCAATGTGAATGACTTTTAAAAAATTGCCCATATCAATAATACTTAAATTAAATGACGTTCTCCAATAGTCAACCTTCAAATAATAAAACAGAAGATTTGAGTACTGAAGCCTCTGTCCACCAGAATTTCCGCTTTTGCCGACCATCGTCTATTACTGCCGTCACCTGTTCGTGCCGCCAAAGTCGTCGTAGTCTTGGCTTACTGGTCATCACCATTTCTGCCGATTGTCGTCCATTACAATCACCGCCACTGCCGCCGCTCACAGCAGCCACCATCACTGTTGAAGTCCATTTACACTGCCGTTGTGAAGTCGAAATCACTAATATATCGAGAAAGTTATCATCCATCACCGGGGTAACAGCCATCCTCTCAACTCCCTGACCCATTTATGTGAATTGTGGTCTTAACTCCTACATACGTGTGTTTGACACGCCCAACCTGCGTGTCCCTGGTGGGTCTTTTGTAACGCACGTATAATATCGTGTTAATATCGTAACGTGTCTTTTGTCCGCATATGTGTGCTGGGACAAATAGGACGATGCTTATGTGAGTAACTATCAGAGAAATTTCGTCCCGCATTACCCACATACATGCCTATGTGTAAACGGTCTGTCGTAACTAGTCATGGCAGAGACTAGCATAGCCCGACGCACCACTATTAACCAATCAAGAATCAGCGACAAGATTCGTGGACTTCGCGTTAGCGAACATGAGACATCCTTAGCAGAGAACGTACCACACACTATATTCATTGTCGTGCCGGACGAATGTTTTTATGTAAATATTGTGTAAATACTATTTTTGTATACATTTTTTATTTTTATATTAAATTTAAAATGATGCTCGTGCATTATGCTCAATATAAATACATTTAACCTCATCAAGATAAATAAAACGAAAAAGTTTTAGCTTCGATGCGAAGCTGAGAAGGTATTGGTTTTACTAAGATGTGTTTTTTTTTTTTTTTTTTTTTTTT